ATTTCTGGCCCAGGGTTTCAATTTACCTCCGTCCATCTTGGCAATACTTGTTACCGTCAGGGTTTTTTTGTTTTTTGGTTTTTTTGATTTATTTTGTTTTTGCAGCCATCCTAGTGGGTGCGAAGCGGTATCTCATTGTGATTTTGACTTGCATTTCCATAATGACTAATGATTTTGAGGATTTTAAAAATGTGCTTATTGGCCATTTGTATATCTTTTTTGGAGAAATGTCTGTTCAAGTTCTCTTCCCCTTTTTGGAATGGGTTTGTCGTTGTTGTTGTTAAGTTGTAAGAGTTCTTTATGTATCCTGGAGACGAGACACCAATCGGATATATGATTTGCAAATATTTTCTCCCACTCTATGTGTTTTTTCACTCTCTTGATAGTATCCTTTGATACCCAAAAGTTTTCAATTTTGGTGAAGTTCAGTTTACCTATTTTTTCTTTTGTTGCTTGCATTTTTGGTGCCGTATCTCAGAAACCATTATCAAATCCAACATGATGAAAATTTACCCTATATTTTCCTGTGGAAATTTTAGTTCTTATATTTAGGTCTTTGATTGATTTTACTTTTTATTTAGAGTAAGATAAGGGCTCAGCTTCATCTTTTGCATGTGAATATCCAAATGGCCTAGATTGAGTGTTTTTTGTTTGTTTGCTTTTTGAGACAGCATCTCACTCTGTTGCCCAGGCAGGAGTGCGGTGGCACCATCACAGCTCACTGCAGCCTCAACCTCCCAGGCTCAATTGATTCTCCCACCTCAGCTTCCCGAGTAGCGGGAACTCTTAGCCAGCGCACTACGGCAGGCACCTGGCTAATTTTTGTATTTTTTGTAGAGAGGGGGTTTCGCCGTGTTGCCCAGGCTGGTCTTGAATATCTGGGCTCAGGCGATTCACCCACCTCAGCCTCCCAAAGTGCTGGATTTAGAGGCAGGAGCTGCTGCACCCAGCCTCTGTGTTGAGTGTTTTTGTCCTGAAAAGGTGTGGGATTTTTTCAAACTCTTTTTCTGTATCAGTTGAGAAGATCATGTGGTTTCCCTATATTCTGCTAATGCGGTACACGTGTATTAGTTTTCTAGGCTGCCATAACAAAGTACCACAGACCAAATGCCTTAAAACAACAGAAAACACAGTTCTGGAGGCCAGAAGTAGAATACATATACTGTTCTCATTAAGCCTCACGGTTACCTAATGGCACTCAGGTACTGTCATCATCCCCATTTTTCAGATGAAGAAACTGAAGTACGGAGAGGTAAAGTTTTGTAGGATCATACAGCTAATCAGAGGTGGTGCTGGGATTTGGGCCCAGGCTATGTGCTTCTGAGTCTGCACTGTTAACCATAATACTATGCGGTCAAGTTTATTCACATGACTCAGCCTGTTTCCTTATTAACAGATGAGGATAACAGCTCTTATACTTCAGGGCTGTTGTGAGGGTTAAGTGTTTGATGAGTGTGAAACAGCCCCATGAATGAAGACAACCAGCTGGGAGGGCTGTGAACTGGCCACCCATGGTCGTGTGTACAGTTGACCAGAATTAGGGTGATGGGGCAGTGACGAGTCCTTGGATTCAGGTCAGGCACTTTGCCTCCAGCAAGCATGAGTCCCCACAGACAGTGACAACAGAAGGCTTTCAGAGACTTCGTTGTGCTGACGCTGCTGATGTTCTCCAGCACATTCTCTCCACCCAGACAGGCAGAGGTCCTTTTATTTCTAGATAACAAAACTTGGCTGGTGGACACACCGCTAACATGTAGGAGAGGTGGAATTTGAACCCAGGTTCCAGAGCCGGCGCCACCTTAGCTCCCACGTTCCCTTACTCATTCTTACTGTTGCTCCCACGTCCTGTCCCGCGCACCTCAGAGCCTGCAGTGGGACAATTCAGTATTCCTGGAATGCTGCTCTTACCACCACGTGTAAACATACTCTGCCTGACTCATGGACTAGCTCTCATGCCACCCACACCACGAGCTTTCCTGCTCCAAACCCAGAAATGTAATGTCATCGCCACCTCCTGGGATGGGAGCCTCCGCAGCCTTGTATTCCCCGCATTGGTACTCAACATCCTAGGGTAGTTTTCTCCTTCCCCACAGTTGCTAGGGTGGAGGAACCTTAAGGGCTTAGCCGTGTAACCCCCACTGCCCCATAACTAAGCCCTTTCATAGTGTGTTCCTTGTAGAGTTGGGTACTGTGCAGCTATGGGACAGGGATGGGTGGGCAGAGGGGGTGCCAGGCAGAGGCAGGAGGCCAGACCATCACACCAGAGAGCTCTGTAGGGCTCAGAGACACTTTGATCTGCATTCTGGCCATTGAGTCATGTATGTAGCAGTAACTAAGGAGTGTGTCTGTTACAAAATAGTGCACCAGTCAACATCAGATCATGGTTTCCACCAGGAGTCCACAAAAGAATCTCTGTGGAACTTCACAGAAATACAGAATGCCAGACATCCACCACAGACCTGCTGAGTTGGCATCTCTGGGAGGTAGGACCTGGGCAGTTGTAATTTTTTGTTTGTTTGTTTGTTTGTTTGTTTGAGACGGAGTCTCACTCTTTCGCCCAGGCTGGAGTGCAGTGGCGCAATCTCGGCTCACTGCAAGCTCCACCTCCCGGGTTCATGCCATTCTCCTGCCTCAGCCTTCTCAGTGGCTGGGACTACAGGCGCTCACCACCACTCCCAGCAAATTTTTTGTATTTTTAGTAGAGACGGGGTTTCACCGTGTTAGCCAGGATGGTCTCGATCTCCTGACCTGGTGATCCACCCGCCTCGGCCTCCCAAAGTGCTGGGATTACAGGCGTGAGCCACTGTGCCCGGCCCGGCAGTTGTAATTTTTAAAGCTTCACATACGTGACAAACAGTGACACTGGTGACCTCCAGGGAGGGAAGGTGAGAGGAGGACTATTCACATTTGTCCTTTTTGAGTTTTGAACTAGGTAATGATATTATGTGTTCAAAAAATAATGTTTAAAAACCATAAGCTCACTCGTACTATATGTTGTTTATGTTTAAATATCTGTGTAGTAGGAGGATAAGGATTAAAACGTGCCCAGAGATGGCAGCACACTGCTAGAGGTGGGAGGGGAAAGGTGGAAGGTGAGGGTTTGGTTCCATTTGTAATGTTTTATTTGTTTAAAAAGAGACACTTGAGGCACAATGGCAAAATCTATTCAATTTGTGAGGTGAGTATACTGGATTTGTTATGTTATTATCTGTTTGAAAGATTTTATAGTTAAGAACAAATATTTAAAAGTAAAACAAAGTATGAAATATTCATAGCTAGCTCCCACGTGCTCCTAGCTAGTGACTAAGGAGAGTGATGGGAAAGGTGAAGCGCAGGCCTGTGGCGCTTAACAGCAGGCAGTCGTTCTGAGAAACGCGCTCACTAGGCGATGTTGTCTGTGCGGGAACATCACAGAGTGCATTTGCACAGACCTGGATGGTGGAGCCTGCCATGCACCTAGGCTATATAGTGTGGGCTATTGTGCCTACAGCACAAACCTGTACAGCATGTTACTGTACTGAATACTGCAGGCAATTATAACACAATGGTATTTGGGTATCTAAGCATAGAAAAGATGCAGTAACAATATGGCATAAAAGAGAAAAAATGGTACACCCGTATAGGGAACTTACCATAAATGGAGCTTACAGGACTGGCAGTTGCTCTGGGGAAGTCAGGGAGTGAATGGTGAGTGAATGTGAAGGCCTAGAACATTACCGTACACTACTGTAGACTTCATAAGCACTGCTTAGACTACACTACATTGATTTTAAAAAAATTTTCTTGTTTTAATAGTAAGTTAACCTTAGGGCCAGGCATGGTGGCTCATGCCTGTAATCCCACGGCTTTAGGAGGCCAAGGTGGAAGGACTGAGACCAGGAATTCGAGATCAACCTTGGCAATCACGGACCTGTCTCTACAAAAAAACTTTTTAAATTAGCCAGGTGCAGTGGCATGCACTTGTAGTCCTAGTTACTGGGGAGGCTGAGGAGGGAGGATCGCTTGAACCCAGGAGTTCCAGGCTGCAGTGAGCTGTGATGGTGCCACTGCACTTCAGCCTGGGCAATAGAGTGAGACCCTGTCTCAAAAAAGTAAATAAATAAAAATAACCTTAGCTTACTGTAACTTTTTACTTTTATAAAAAGTTTATTTTTTGATTTTTTAGAACTTTTTGACTCTTTTGCAATAATACACCTTAAAACAAACAAGTTATACAGCTGTACAAAAACATTTTCTTTCTTTATATCCTTATTCTTTACACTTTTTCTATGTTTAAAGTTTTCTGTTTTTTACTTTTTAAACTTCTTTGTTAAAAACTTAAGACGTAAACCCTCACATTAGCCTTGGCCTACACAGGGTCAGGATCATCATGATCACTGCTTCCACCTCCACATCTTGTCCCCCTGGAAGGTCTGCAGGGGCCATAACACCCATGGAACTGTCACCTCCTATGATAACAGTGCCTTCTTCTGGATACCTCCTACGGGACCTGCCTGAGGCCGTTTTATAGTTAACTTTTTGTTTAATAAGTAGAAGGCGTATACTCTAAAATAATGAATAGACGTATGGTATAGTAAATACATAAACCAGTACCATCGTCGTTGATTATCAAGTGTTATGCACTGTGCATAATTGCATGGGCTTGAATTTTATGTGACTGGCCGGGCAATAGGTTTGTTTACACCAGCATCACTACAGACACATGAGTAAATGCATTGACCTACGACATCACAAGGCGATGGGAATTTTTCAGTTCCATTATGGTGCTATGGGACTCCAATCATATACATGGTCTGTCATTGACTGAAACGTCATGTGGTGCGTGACTGTACGGATCACCCTCACTAAGAATTAGTGTCAGTGGCTTCTATACATTAATAATATCAGTCACGCATGAAACACGAGTAGTGTGGGTGAGGTCCCTGGCCTGCACCGTTGTAGTGTGGGTGAGATCCCTGGCTTGCACTCCCATCCTAAGTATTTGTTTCTTTTTGTTTCAGGTGTTTGTGGCCAGTCCTCACAAAACACAGCCTATTGTGGAGATTCTGTTAAAGAATCAGCCCAAACTCATTGAGTTTCTGAGCAGCTTTCAAAAAGAAAGGGCGGATGATGAGCAGTTCGCTGACGAGAAGAACTACTTGATTAAACAGATTCGAGACTTGAAGAAAACGGCGCCTTGAAGAGCTCCCTAGCCCCTGTCACAGTCATTCGTCTCATTTGTCCAGTTTGTACAATGTGATATGTCAGAAAGCCATCATTCTTGGGAAGACTTTGGAGGTGCCTATTTTTTTCTGTTGTAATTGTTCTGCGTAGATGGAATATAAACATTTGAATGGAAAAAAATTAACCTAGAATAATATATTCATTTTAATCAAGTCTGTGATTATTTATGTGAAATCAGAGCCATTGTATTAGGTGTTGATAAAAACAATTTTAACTTGCAGACGTGAGCCCCTGGGCACCATGAGCCACTAAACGGGAGCTCAAATGAGAGGCATCACCAAGTCTTCAAGGAAGACTGAGTTCTCAGGAGAGAACTGGGAATGGGGCCAGGGTGCAAACGTGCTTTGCCCGTCTGTAGGTAGACACACAGATCGCTCAGAGCACTGCGAGATCCCAGAAGGTTACATTAATGTTTTCAGTCATTGTGTGTCCTTCGCTGCTGCCAATGTCTTTGGACTGTAATCAGTGCATCCATACCTCCCGGAATCCAGTGCTCCCACTCAGCTCAGTCTCCCGTCCCTGCCTGTCCTGCATTTCATCCCAACTCCTCAGCGTGGCCTCAGTGGGCGCGCCCATGCCTCCCGCAGTCCAGGTGAGCAGGGGAACAACTGAGCAGGAACAGGATGGATCAACAAGGGTCATGGGGAATAGAGGACCCACAGGGTGAGACCTGCTTGCTGGAGAACTGCGAACACGTGGCTCTGGATAGAGTCACAGCTGTTCCATATTGACTTCCAGAGAGTGAGTGAGGGACAGAATGTTTCCTTCATAATCATCATGGGTGAATGCTTTCTGCTGTAAGTGTATTTTAGAGTGGGAATCACCGTAGTGGAACGCCCAGCAGGCACAAACATGGGTCCAGGGAGTCTCAGTGAGGAACTTTTATCAATAGGAGGACGTAACCATCGGAAGGAGAAATGATTCATATGTGAAAAAATTCTCAGATCCATCAATAAATTGTTTTCAGTTTGTTTTCTAATAAGCTGTCATTCTATAATTGCCCATCACAGTCTTTAGTGAACACATAGAAAACCTATACTGTTTTGGTCCTGAATAGTCTCTTGCAACCAGGATGATTGAGGTATTAATTCATCTTCCTTATAAAAAGGCATGGAATCAAAAATATTTTAAAAGGCCGTGGTTTCGTTTCAGACATCAAGCATCTAAAATGGGATTTTAAAGCGATAATTTACAAGACATGAAAGGCACAATTGTTGATCTGTATTTTTTATACTTCAGTTTCTAAATCGTGAGTCGTTGCCTTCCACAGGAACCCTCCCTTTTTACAATACTTGAGTGTTATGTACTTTCTCTTCAGTCAGGTGTTTCTGTGCCCAGAGAGGGAAAGAGAAATGTGTTCTCCAAGATTGATCCCCTTTGTAGATTTTGTACCTGAAGAATTACCTGGCAGGGCACCACCCTTGGCTAGGTCCAGGTGTGTGTCTCTTTCTTGCCTGGCATGGACCCCGAGGCAAGGCATGTGGAGCCTGGCGCACCTCCCCGCTTTGGCAGCTGTGGCCTCTCTGACCAGTGCCCTTGCAGGAGGCTGGCCGGAGCAGCCTGATGACCTGCACTCTTTAGTCACTGACGTCAGATTATTTCTATAACATTCCCTGACAGTTCAGAGTCCCTTCAAATCGCACTTTTCTGGTTTTGCTTTTTTAATTAAAAGAGATGAGTGTAAGTATAAAAAATGAAGGTGAAATAACCATTGGAAATGTATTTGATTGCTTAATACTGTTCCACAACATTTTGGGATGTATGTTTTCCTTTGGAGAGTAAGGCCTTATTACTATTCTTTTCTGATAAAGAAAACATTTTATTTCCTTTGGGCTTCCGTTAGCTCCTTCCTAGCAACCCATTATCCCAGCTCAGTACCTTTCAAACAGAAAACTAGGATTCTGGGGTTTTGTTGTGGTCTAAATTTGTAAGTTATTAATGTGAAAAGCGGAGCAGGAAGCTCACAGATTTGTTTGCACAAAGTTCACTGTAAATACTGTGAGAATTGAATTCTGAAAAGGTCACATTTAGTGATTTCAAAAGCACACATTTAAATGAAGACTGACTAAATAAAACGTACCACACACTTCTTGGTTGGTTTCATTCCATTGCATGCTGTGTGGCTGTGTGTGTTCTTGTCACCATTCCAGGCAGGGAAACCCTTATGCTGCCCCAGGGCCCCAGCACACCTTCCTGTATGCCCCACCAACCAGTGACCCTGCACCTGTCCCATCTTCCAAGCTACACTAACCACCATTGACTAGGCAGCGCCTACTCAACCCTGAATCTACACATCCCACGGTTGATGCCTCCCCATACCTGGGAGTCTTTCCCATTTCATAACTGAGGACATTGAGGTTCTGAGGTGGTTCTGAGTGGTTCAAAGATCCCAGACCTAGTGTGGGATACCCTAGATACAAGCCCACAGTGGCCCGAGGCCAAATTCCTGTTCTCTCTCTCTCTCTCGCCTTCATCATCAAGGCTGTGAACTAGGGACGGGCCAGAGCATCAGAAACCATGTGGAACTGTCCCCCACTGCTGCCTGGGAGGTTCCCCAGCTGGGAGGGTCCTAGCATTAGGCCAGCAGGGACTGAGATCATAATGTTCCTGGACCAGGTTCTTGGCCAGAGCCAGGCATCTGCCCAGAAGTTAGGATTCCTCCTGGAGAAAATGCTCAGGAGCACCCACCCCTTGGAAATGTCCCAGACTCTCAGCCTCATGGGTGGGCCTCCTTTGATGGTTCTAGGGGAGCAGTGTGGCTGTCCAAAGAGGGGCTGTGAGCTTCCCACAGCCCCCCTCACTAGCCAGACTGGTTTGTCCACATTTCCCGTGAGACACAGCTGCTGTGAACCACAGCAGTCTAGAAATTACACAAGACTGAAAGTGATTGTAACAATGTGAAGGAAAATTAAACTCAAAAATTCCTGGAATCATTTTAGTTGTTTCAAAATAGATTTACAAATCTTGCTGGTCTGTTTTATTAGAGGATATTACGATTTTACGTCTTTTACTCGTTTTACCATTTTATCCAAAATATTATACATATGGCATGAATGAGTACCATCACTCCGTGGGTGTTCTTGTGGAAAGGTTTTAGATATTGCATTGGGGCTCACAACTGGATAAAGGTCTGAAACATACACTATTGGGAGACCCTGAAAAGCTAGACTTAGTCTACCTAAAAAGATTGAAAAGGTTGAAAATGGATGTAAACAAGGTGTGATTTCATTTCTGAAACATGGAAACTGCTGTGATGTAGCTGCCATAATGAAAGCACAGCAAAGCTGAGTGTTCAGCCTGGTCTGCACTAACCCCATACAGACATCTCAAGCCTCCACCTGACGAAGGGAAATTTGGACCACAGAGAGGGTGAGTAAATCCCTCCAGATCAGACAGCTAGTCACAGAGCCAGGATTTAGGGCCAAGGCTGACCCCAAGGTCCGTGTCTTTGGAAACCAGACTGCAAATTCAGGGCGCTCGGCCTATTCTTCAGCTTTCTGCCCCTGGACAGATAACTGTCTCCTCTTGGCCCCCACTGAAAAACGAATCCTGGATACCAGTGCTAAAGAATAACTTACCGGAAAGATTTCGAAGGCTAGATTCCTTTAGGGAAGGTTGGAAAAAATAAGATCACTTTTAGTTTTAGTTCTAATATTTAAAGCTGTAAAATAGCCAAAACATTTATTTAACTAATTTATTCATTTAACATCTGTTGAATTCATTCTCCATGCTGGTTAGGGATGGATCCTGGGATAGGACACCGAGTGACACACCAGGGTTACTGTAGGCCTCCTGTGATCGTGGAAGCTCATGGCGTGGGGGTCAGAGGCTTTTTTAAGTCCCTACCGTGCAGCTGGCACTGGGACCGAGTCAGCAGAGAAGAGAGGATAGACAGGAGGTGAGGAGCCAGGGAGGAAGGGCAGATCCCACTGCCGACCCCGAGAACGTGGCGGACCTACAGAAGGGCAGGCACCCTTCAGTGCAGAGCCCCCGCGCTGGGCCCACAGTGGCAAAGCTGAAGGGGGAGGTGCAGGGAATGGGGAACCCTGACAACGCCAGCCAACTGCGACTACACCGGCCCCGCCCCAGTTCACCTCCCCTCACAGCTGACACGATGTGCTGTTGGGACCAACGCTAATGCATCACCTGCTGGAGAGGGAATTGTGGAGACGCGCTCATGCTTAGCAAAACAGACATTGCAGATGCCCCCAGGTGTGTTCTGCCCTGGGGAGATGCTGACATACACCCTCCTACCATCCTTTCCCATCTCGGAGACATCAGGTCCCTTTTTCCTTTGGAATATCATCTACTCATGAGAGGTTTGTGTGAATTAACTAGAATCACATGGACTTTGGGAACGGCCACACCTGGACTGAAATTCTGGCTCCACGGCTAGCTGTTCCCTCTTGAGAATCACCGAGCTTCCAGGAAACAGGCAAAAAGAGGACTTACCTCACGGGATTGTTGTGGGAACCAATGAGGTAAGGTAGGTGACGTGCCGGGTTCAGACTGGGTGCGCCCACGTTAGCCGCGTCACCAGAGCGAGAGATGCCCACTGCAGGCAGGGCGGCGGGCACAAAGCGTGGCTGGAAAATGACAAGGCTTGTGCGCTTGTGTCCGGGGCATGTGGGGATGTGAGAGGGCCGGGAGGGAGCCTTGAATGCCCAGCTAAGGGTCTGACTCCACCGTTAAGGCGGCTGGCTTTTATTCAGGAAGTGACCCGAACACCTGCGTGTCCGGCAGGAACGCTCTGGAGCCGGCCCTGGAGGGAAACAATGAGGGAGGGCGGGATGATGAACACCTGCTGGTAAGGGCGAGCGCGGACTCGGTGCTGCTGTCAGTCCCGCTGCAGATGCTTTAAAGCATTATCAGTCTTCAGAACCACCTTATGAGACGCCTACTGTGATTATCCTGTCAATCTGAAGAATAATCAGAGAGTGGCTCTCAAAGAAAGTGATGTTTATTCAGGAATAAGGCACTGCCACGGGAGTATGCCTGCCAGAGTAAAAACCACGTGTGCCTTCAGGGAGGTGAAGGAAGACAAAGGTTTTTAAAAGGAAAGGGAGGATTATATCATTGCTTTGAAGTAATGATCCTTGGCTACAAGGGTTGATTGCAAGAGGGACACCAGTCTGAGGCTGGACAGGCAGTT